TGAGATATACAAGCGGAATTTTGCCGAACCCACATTGGAGGATCACTTTGACAAAACGATCTTGCCCAAAGTTATGCAGGTACGATCCATGTTCAGTTGGGCTTGGTTCAATATTAATAATAATGTACTACGCTGATTTTAGGTGAAAAACTTTGGCAAAGCTGGACGGACAAAATGGACCCATTTAGTAGCTGAGGACACGACTGATTTTCAGTCAGCATGGGTTGCCGACACTTCTCAAAATATAAAGTTTTTCAATAAACACGCGGCTGGAGTTAAAGACATTTTCGACAGGCCCTCCGCAAAGAAGCGAAAGAAGTGACTCTGGCTGCTGCCACTGCTTTCTCACTGTTTAAAGTTTATTGTTTGCTATTTATTTTGTAAAAAGTTGTATTATATTTGCTATGGTTTTTACAGAATATTGTATATAGATTAAAAATGCGAATACGGAATATGGATTCTATTTTACTGAAAATTTCCTTTTACACTTCATTACGATGTTCAGCATTTACCGATGACTAATTTATTTTCCTTTAACTAATGTGTAATCCTTGTGGTGGTTTTTATATTCCCAGTCACTCTTCAGGTTAGCGATAAGATGATTTTTGTACTTACCGTACTCTGTAAAGTTTTCTTTTCGCTCTATACAGCTGAAGTGACAAAGTAAGAGATGATGTGGTAAGGAGAAGTAGATTGGATTACAACTTCAGTGATTGCCAGACGTCTTGAAAGTTTCCAAATCAGTCAATGGTTATGCGTATGAAACGATTGCAAAAATTGTGGTTCATGGTGACATCAGTTTGCCAAAATCTTTAGGATAGTCTATGCACCCAACCCATTATTCTCTTCCTTTCCTTTACTCCTTCTTTCAGGCGTTCGATTAAGGTGATGTAATTACCAAATATTTTGGATTAGGATGGTATTGTATGTGATTCGTCGTTGGTCACAGAAAGACACGTTTAGGGTCTCGCTGTCTGCTGTCTTAAGTGTATATCTCCGTTTGCTAAGGTTCGATTCCAGGAAAACATTTAAGGATATAATTATGGAAAACGGCGTTTGAACTTAAAAAATTTTTCTTATTAGTTCCTCCACATATTTCACTTGTGTTGCTACAAGCAGCTCATCAACCTACCCAAACATGCGCAGCCCGTTGCCACCATGTTACTGTTGTAGATGTTAAATGTTTGACCGGCGCTCAGTCCATCTAAATATTACTGTCAGGTGTTCAAGTCCATTAAGCAGTAACTGCCTAGGTTTATGCTCGCATAGCAATATTCAACTCTGTATCAGCAGCAGCTAGATTTAGGCATACCTGTTTTTGGGGGATTGTTGTTTATGTAGATGTTGAAATGTTTGAATTCTTTTAGATATTCTTGTGGTATAGCACTGTTTGCTAGCTTTGAGTGACTGCTGGTATTCGATTGGTAAACCCTGACTCGCCGACTGCAGATTAAAGCAGTGAACACCTCAATGTTTGTCTTCATCTAGTCACGTTGAAGAGTCCATTTATTACGTCACATGCTGGTCGAACACGTACGAATGGTCCGGCTGGATAAAAGACAATCGTTGATATTTCATTCGTGTTTCGATTGATATGATCTACTGAATTATCCTTGTTGCCGTCTTCGAAGACAATGTAACAATAATTCGATTTTTGCCCCAACGAAAGTTTTCATGGTTCCTGCTGAAAAGGGGTTTTTTCATTGAAAGGGGTGAATTATTTCTCGTGCGATTATTACTACGTTGGACATCATGGTTTTAATTTCATTGCGTGCTGCAGGATACCGCGATAAGATGCCCTGCCGAAGGTCTGTTTAATAATGGCTGGTGAAAGATCCAGTAAGTCGATAAATTCATTAACCTATCCTAAGAAGCCAGCATTTACAAGCGTGAGAGATTCTATGGATAATGAGGACTAACTGGAGCGCGTTCCAGTCCGTCAACGATGTCCTCGACAGCATCAAGAAAGGGACCTGCACGCACCCCGTTCTCCCGGCCATATTATAAGTTTGAGTCGTAGCCACTCGCTATAGCCAAATAGCGACAGCTGTATATCACCAAGAGATGCGTAGGAAAAAGAATTTTGGGAGTCTCCCGTTGCGACCACATCCTCAGCACAGTGATCAGACAGCGGACGGAGATGCCAGACTTCGTCGTCGAAAGCAGAAAGAAGTTATGGTGGTTGGGCACGTAGCTTGACTCATGACGATGATCGTTGACTGTTACGTTCGCTTGCAGACGAAGCCGCTTGGTCGGTCACCATGACAGTGGGAAGAATATATCAGGAGTCGGTAAGGTCGCAAAGCTGAGAACTCAGACGCAGGTTGCGGTCGGCACGACTCATTGCCAAATACCGACGATCCAAGTACCTCTACATGGCTATTCCGTTTTTCTCCGGGACTCCAAGTCACGCAGAACAGCCAAAACAGCTGACTGTAGAATGCCTATTCAACTAGCGTTGAGTACGCTGAGGACATCGTACTGTTGAGTGACTCCGCAAGTATTCTACTGACACTCGTTGAAAGTATGTGCAACACTGCTGTAGGATTGTGAACACTAGTGAGCTCCAAAAAGACAAAGATTATGCTAGTGCTGACATCGATATATTGTGGAATGGACTTGTGATGGAAGAGAATGGATTATGTCAAATTCCATGGAACAGCTTTGAACTGTGTTGACCTACGATGGCGACATTGATCCTGACGTGAACGGTGTATTGGATTGACATCAGCGAATTTTGCCAAACTGTAAGGATCGAACTTTGAAAGAAAGAATCGGAAGATCGCCATTCTGAAATTAGCCGTATTAGTGGTACTCATTTACAGTGGCGAAACATTTGCGGTCATTAAATATCCTGAGAATTGTGTTAACAGCTTAAAACAGTGCTGTTTATGAAATATTCTCCAAGTTTCTCATCTGGCCGTAGACGCCTTAGAGACAATACAGAACTTGGAAACTTCTTTAAGGCAGACCTACTGACGTTGATTAATATGAACTTATCGCAGCAATGAAGGCTGTGTAATATCAGTCTGCAATACCATTCCTAAAGCTAAAACAGTGAATCTGAAATACTCTGCTGCTTATGCTCTGTTATCCCTTTATGTCTACTAAAAATAACAACAGCGTTAAAATTTCATATCATTTTAAATGTAGTTATTTTGTTAGCTTATTTCTTATTCACTGTAACTTTTGCTCTCTCTGCTGTTTCATGTTGCTGCACGTTTTTGATTGTTCTCATCAGTCGTTCATGCTAATAAGTTTCACTCATTGCCTCTAGTGGAGTCTGTCGACATATTGGCAGAGGCTGTTTTGATTCCGCGGAAATTTTGGCTGTGAGGAATTGATAATTTTGCTATTTACATACACAGTTTCACTATTAAGATGGTCGCTTTTTGATTCTGCTAATAAACGCTTTGATTTTTTAAGAATAGGCGTTGTTTTGCTTCTGCCTTGCAGCTGACGTATGCCGATGGAGGCAGACTATGGAATCACGGAGTTCGTTTCAGATTCGACTGGATTTGTGTGCTGCTTTAAACAACGGTGCGTATTTAACGGATGAGTTTTCATCGCATACGTCGATTTTCAGATTTTCGGACTTTCTTGTAAATGAGATCGATTTCCAAAACCAAGTAGTGCATCTGACGCGCTTGACTGCAGCTGTTTCTGATCAGCCAGAGGTGAGACCGAATTTCATTTTATTTTGCTTAGTTATTATCATTGTTGTGACGCAAGTGCCTGTGTTTATTTCTGTTGGTACATCGATGGTGTTTGTCTGATGCTGAAACTAATTTTCTTGTTTTTTATCGATGTCATGGAATACTGGTGGAATCAGTACGAAACCGCGAATATAAAATGAGCGCCAAAGGTAATCAAAGGGGAATTATGTCATATTGAGGAAGTTCAGGTTACGTTTCTTAAGCTTAGCAGAACAATAAACAGACTACCCTTAGGCTGGAATCATAAATCCTCGGTACAGCTCCGTGCTGGCAAACACCCTGACGTACTTGGATCTGGAGCACGAATTTTGTGACACCAGTTATGAAAGTTTGTCAAACAATAGATGAGTGCTGTTCTGAAGAATGTTCTGACGCTTGCGAACACCTTGGAAATCGTTTAGTCTACTACGTGCCAAAGTTGATCGTTAAGAAGCAGAATGGAGACTCAGTGATCGCCTTTATATGTGAAGTCAGATGCTAACAGGCCAGTTACATGACTGCTGATGCATGGATGTAAAGTGGCAAAATATGTGGGAAGTAAAATTTTCAAGTCTCATTTGCCGTGCACAAGCTTTTTTCATTCTCTTCATCAAATGAAGTTTGGCAACACTGTCGTGAACGTATGATCGTTGCATTAAGTCAGGAGACAGACTGGCACCAAAATGTTTGACCGTTTGCATTAAGGTGCAAAGATTCCATTAAGAGCCAGGGAATGAGATAAGACATGCACCGTTAAACGAAACGGTTCTTGGCAGCTGCTCTTTTACTTCAAGAGTATCTTTCCATTTTCGGTGTAGGCCTGTGATAATCCTACGTACGCCTGTCTCTAGCTGTGCCATTAAGTGACGTGAAATCGAGGTCATTCTTGTTTAATCCGGTTTTTATAGTGCCTTATCCCGTACGGACAGCTGTTAGGCGAGCAGGTGCTAATATAAATTGTGATTAGTGTTGTAGTCTCAGTATTAAAAATTAAGGATGTGAAACTTTATTATAAAAGCCCTGATGATAGCCTCCGCAGTGCTCTGTCCGCTGGAAAGTTGTTTGCAGATTATCGACCGATCGGTTTGCGGAAATGGCCTTGCGTTTTTCGGCATTAACAGTGAATGGAGAGAACTTGACCTAATTCGGCCATATAAAATGAGTTTCTTCCGTATGACCTGAGTCAAAGCGCGCTGTATCCACTTAACCTGAAGAGTGGCTATTCCGAACTAAATTCTCATGACACAGTCAAACATTGAAGACCATGTTTACAGGCAGTTGTGCAGAAATGGTCCTACGTACATTTGCAGTTATCAATCTAAGCAAGCAGCTACCATGGAGGTCTGTAGAAAACCTGCAAGTTTGACTGCTGGTTCGCTCAAGATAGATTTACACCGCACCGTCTTTCTATCAAATTTTTCTTTCCGTTTAATTGTAGTCACCATATGCATAAAGTAGGTCGAGGAAACAGATTTGTTAATCTTTGTTTCTTTTAACTTAGTACAGCCAGTAATTGACCAATACATGCAGATGAATTTCTCAAAAGTGGAGTTGCTTACTTACCTATCATGATGGCTCATACTGATATTTGTCTGTAGTTAAGGCATGAATGTTTGGTCGCCTGCGA